AGCTGGACAATGAATAAGGAAGTCCAAAGAAAAGATGATGCCCTTGAATTATGGTGTTCTCATCAGAAATGATGGAGATATGAAGGAAGAAGTGGCACAATGTTTTACAAATGCTGAAAAAATAATCTCTCAACTAAGAATTGTGCATCCAGCAAACCCATCCTTAAGAATGCAGAGAAATCAAGATATTCTGAAATGAAGGAAAACTAAGAGAATTTGTCTCTAGCAGACCTAAATAGAAAGAAAACAATAAAAGAAGGAATCTTGGAACATCAGGAAGAATGAATAATGGAAGGAGTCAAAATATAGGTAAATACAATAGACTTTTCTTCTCCTCTTGTGTTTTACAAATTACATTTAACCATTAAAGCAATAATTATAACACTGTTTGATATACTTCTCAATGTTTACAGAGTAAATATTTAAGGCAAATATAAATGCTACTACTTGTGTAAGTTTGTCCCACTGTGGTGGCTTGTGTGTTGCTGTGAGGCTGAAGGCTATGCCACCAGTATTTGGAATACCTGCAGAGTCACCAATGGTGGGCAGGTTTCAGCAGAGCTTCCAGACTAAGACAGACTTGGAAGAATGAAGGGCCATCCACTTCTCAAAGAACTGGCCAGTGAAAACCTTATGAATAACAATGAAACAGTGTCTGATATATTACTGGAAGGCTTTAAGAATAGCCCTGAAACATTGTCCAATATAGTACCAGAAGATGAGCCCTTCAGGTCAGAAAGTACTCAAGATATGACAGGGGAAGAGCTGCCTCCTTAAAGTAGAGTTGACCTTAATGACGTGGATGGAGTAAAGCTTTTGGGATCACCATTTGCTGATGTGGCATGCCTCGAAATGGGAAGAAACAACTGCAAACATCCATTAATAATCAGAACATGGAATGTATGAAGTATGAATTTAGGAAAATTGGAAGTTGTCAAAAATGAAAGGGAATGCATAAAGATTGATCTCCTAGGCATTAGTGAGCTGAAATGGACTGACTTGGGCCATTTTGAATCATATAATCATATGTTCTACTATGCCAGGAATGGCAAATTGAAGAGGAATGGTGTGGCATTAATCATCACAAAGAATGTTTCAAGGTGTATCCTGAAGTAAATGCTGTCAGTGATAGGATAATATCCATACATTTACAAGGAAGACCAGTTAATATTACTATAATTCTAATTTATGCACCAACCACCAACGTGAAGGGCAAAGAAATTGAACATTTCTACCAACTTCTGCACTCTGAAATTGCCCAAACATGCAATCAAGATCTGTTGACTATCATTGGTGATTGGAATGCAAAAGTTGGAAACAAAGAAGAATGACCAGTAGTTGGAAAATATGGCCTTGGTGATAGAAATGACTCTGAAGATTGCATGAGAGAATTTTGTAAGACCAATGACTTATTCATTGCAAATACCTTTTTTCCACAACATAAATGGTGGCTATACTTGTGGACTTCACCAGATAGAATACACAGGAATCAGATCAACTACATCTGTGGAATATCTTCAGGCAAAGGAGGACAGGAGCTGCTCATATGCAAGTTCAAACTGAAGCTGAAGAAAATTAAAAGAAGTCCATGAGAGTCAAAATATGACCTTGATTATATCCCACCTGAGTTTAGAGACCGCCTAAAGATTAGATTTGATGCATTGAACACCAATGGCCAAAAACCATAGGAATTGTGGGATGACATAAAAAACATCATCCATGGGGTGGACAGGCTAAACAATTAGGTATGTCTATGAAAAGGGGAGTGTATCCAAGAATATATATAGGATTGGCAGACAATGGTCCTATAAGTTTATGTGAATGATCAGAATTCCCTGGTGTATGGTAGAGCTGACAAGGGGCAAGGTTGTGGTCATGGCTTGGTCACAGCCAGCTACCCAGAGGGACCGAGTAGTTGAATTTGCGGACTTGGGACCATAGTCACAGTGGACATCAAGCTCAATTGGCATAACATACTATACAAAA